CCAGTGTTTGCATGCTTATCTGAAATTCTCTGTTCTCCTATCAAAGCTCTGGAGAGGTTGGACTTCTTTTTTACAGGCTTTATTTCAGAACTACCAGTAACTATTTCAGATAATTTTACTGAAGTCTGTTCAGTAATAATACTAACACCATTTAGCAAAAAGACAGTGCCCTGCCAATCCAACCAAGCATTACAGGGCACCTTCTGTAAGTGGGAACCATGATAGCAAGATGAAGCAATTACCCCAGACACTACAAGAGTGGTAAGACATAAAGGGTCAACACAAGATTGCAGGAAACAAGAGAAACCCAGGACCTGAATGTGCCCCAGAAAAACTGACTTGCCATCCAATTCCAAACTGGCATTTGGATAGTCCTTTTTTAGAGCCTGCAGCTGGAAGCTTACCTTGCAAAGCACTTCATTTGCTTCTTACTCCCTTTACTGTCTTGACAATAAAATTCTTTTGCACATTTGGAAACAGTAAGTTTCTTACTAAATTTTTTGTAGCAATTTAGCTAGCCCACATCTCTTGTGAGCCATAAAATACCCAGAATTCACAGATCAGTGCTCTAGCAAGAACACCCTATTATGTTGGATATGGTCTCCAAACACTTGTTTATGCTGATGAAAGGAACTTCCAGCAGTAACACTGAGATACTTTGAACTTTGAGATGTCAGTGGTTAAAATCTGAAATGAAGCCAATAAATATAATAAGCAAACAGAAAACCTATTACAAAGAAGTTGTAAAGGTTACTTCAGTATTGCTGATTGCCCAGAACATGGGAAAACGGGAAAAATTACGAATATGCAGCACCTTGCACTTAAAACCAAAGCTCAAAGAAACAAGAAAATATTAGGGAAATAAAAATTGATATCCTGTGAATGATCACAGATGGGTTTTGCATATCCCTATTCACCAGCTGTTTGTATTAGTCTTTTGTGCAAAGGCATCAGAGGAAAACAGATTATGATTTAAAGAGTGTTGGGCTGAAACAAAGGCACAAAACTGAGATATCTTCCTCCATGGAGAAAGATCCTTTTATCCCAGCAAAGAGCAGTCTGCCCAGGCATTACCTAAGTAGAGATTCTGAGTATAAGGTTCCTGGATGGAGCCATGTGTGGATGAGAGACACAGCCGACTGCTCTCATCGACAGTGGAACTTGCTGGGCTTAATGGCTTTGGTGATACCAGTACCAAGTACACATGGACAGCTATTCTGGTTCAGATCAAAGGTCAATACCATCTAGTGCTCCATCTCCATCAGCAGCCACACACAGACATGCAGGAGTGTAACAGCAGGCCAAGCATACAGAACACTTCCCCCTAGCACTGCCTCGCTCACCACTGTCAGGTCAGAGGTTTCCTGAGCCTGCTGTGGTTTCTCTGTTTAGCAATCCTATAAAGATTTCTCGGCCAGGGAGTTGTCCGTTTCCTGAGCCTGCTGTGGTTTCTCTGGTTAGCAATCCTATAAAGACTTCTCGGCCAGGGAGTTGTCTAGCCTCCCTGTGAGTAAAAAGTACTCAGGGAAGATGAGCATCTGCAAGCTCCTCACATTCAGAACCTGCTTCAGTGAGGAGTTCCACAGGTCTTAAATTACATGAAGATGCACTTTCCAATAATGTTTTTTTGGTACTTGGCTTCCACTACTTTCATATGATGGCCTCTAATTCTTTCATTGAGAAGAAAAAGATGAGCACTCAGTCCCTATCTACTTGTTCAATGCCAGTCATGAATCATAGAGCTGGTATTGTCTCAGCAGTCATAGCACAGAGGTCCTGAAACATTAGAGTAGAAAGCTGATATGTTGCACTAAATTTGGCCAGCTAGACAGTGGATTTTGGAAGTATTATATTAACTTTTGGAACAGATTTCAACTATTTACACAGCTATTCAGGTAAGGGAGGGAATCTATTTTCCTGCTTCAGAGTATGCCAGAAGAAATAAGCACAGCCAGTTTTAGAAAGGAAAAATGGAAGTGAATGAAGGGATATACGAATGAAAGGAGATTATAAGGTGCTCAAGTGTGACACAGAAACACATCTGCCTAAATCAGGTGCACAATAGGCTCACAAACACACACAGAGATGCATGGGCAACACGACATCTACAAACACTGTTGTTAACTGGAGGAAATGAAAAGGAGGAAAGTGTGTTCTGAAACCCAGGCAAGCCAGGTGGGCTGGCATGCTGCAGAGCAGATCAGAGAGGGGCAGGAGAGAGAATGACTGTCAGTGCCATATGCTTGTTACATCTTGCTGGTTTGCTTTCTACCGTGTTCATTGAATCTTCCCCTTCTGCAGGTCTCACTTTACATGCATGCACCTTTCACAGGTGGTTTTCACCATCCCTCCTGTCATGGCATCTGAACTAAAAGGCAGGACAGAAAACCACACAGAGGGTATGTCTGTGCACAATGAGCTAGGAAAATCTCCAGTGCTGGACCAGTATTGCTGGTCAGAGACAGCAGTATCCTGAGAGCCATGGAAGAGGAGAGTCCAAGTGAATGGTGAGCTTATTCTGTTGCAGCAGTGGACTGTCTACACAGTATCCTCAAACTATGAACCTCAATAGAAGCCAAATCACCACAATTCCTGTGAGGTGTCCAGAGCCAGGAATATGGGAGGAGAAGAGAAACAGAGAAGACTTTGCCTTGTTTCTAGTGAGAAATGCTGATTAATTCCATGGCAATTTCTAGGAAGCTCTTGCACACATCTTTCCAACTACAGACACCCAGCTAAGCAAGGTGCTGAATTTGAACTCTGCTGTTCCTTTATCCCTTTACTTCCCCTCACTCTCACTGGCTGGGGATGTGAACCACAGGGCCTCCTTACTTTGATGCACAGGATGTATCTTTTTGGTAGAAATCCTTTCATTTCCCCTCCCTTCCTTTTCTCTTTTCCATATATGCTGCTCCAACCTATAATTTTCAGGTTCACTTCTCTCTTTTTCAAGAGACTTGCATATTTCTGATTAGGCCAGGTGATGTGATACAGTGTGGTTTGGCACCCTGTCTCTCATAAACTGTTTTGCCTGGGTAACTCCCTGGCTGAGGGAGTTCTCATTTTTAAATTTCATGAGACCATTAATTTTGTTCTTGCTCCATGTGGAGTTATCTGTCTAACTCTGGCATTAAAGATCAGGCTGGGTTTTCCCTGCTAGAACAACATGCTCTCATGTAGCTTTAGGCAGTAGAAATAATAGGATTTTTCCATTCCAGAACATGAGCAAAACTGTAAGTCAGATACATTTCTCACAGCAGTTTGCCCATAACATCTCCCTGAGCCTTAGTCAGATGGATGGTTTTTATTCTTGCTATAATTTCTTAGGGAGATATCCTGCTTCACATGCAAGTTTGCAACAGGGTTCAAGTCTTTCTAGAGAGCCTCAGTAGCCAGCACATATTAGGGTGAAGAAATTAAGAGAGATCATCATGGTATTTATTTTTTAAGCAATTGTTTTGTCTCTGGAAAGTGAGGGTGCACTTCATTCCCTAAGAAACAAGGAATGCTGGAACATCATTCATGCATCAGAAGTAATATGAAATACACTGAAAGGATGCTTTTCTATCTAATCCCCCTCACTCCCATTTGACCCCAGCATTTCCCAAGAGGAAGGGCTGGAGGAAAATTCTGGCTGTTTCCTTGAGTTTGATTTAATTTCAAAACTCCAGACAGCAAAAACCTCAATCAACATAGTTCTAGTGTCCTCACCTTCCCTGTTTCCAAACAGAATAACCCATGTGCTGGGCACCATTGCAATCCAGCATAAAGAAGGTCAGGCATTGCTGGAGGGCAAAAGCAAAGTGGACACTGAACTGAGCATAATTCTCTGTCAGGTAGTAAGCATACACTCTTCTAGATTAAATGATTCTATCTTACACTGCTAAAGCCACACTGTTAGACCAGAAGGATGTAACCCATATGTGCAATGAGCCAAGGACATCTGGGATTTAATTGCAGGATGCAATGCCAACTTAACTCCCCCACTTTTGTCTTGGCTTTTTCACACAAAGGTCAAGCACAGAATTTGGCTCTAAACTATAATATTCGTTTACTTCCTTTTCATCTCCCACGCCTCCTGCCTCTTTTTCTTCTTTCTGCAGCCTCTGCTCTCTACCTTGCCCCTATTTACTCCCTATATCTGCACATTCTTTCTGCTTCTCCCTATTTTGCCTTCCTTGAAGCATTCCCAACAGCTCATCTGCCTTAAGTTTTCAATTTTCACCTTCTTTGTTCTGTCCTTTTAAAGGATAGAAGAGTTTACACTGATATTTTGTGTTTGTGTCTGTATGCAATCACTAGTGTTCAGAGTGAACACTTGCTACATAATAGTGGGATGAGGCCAGTTTCTGTCTAATCAATTCAGGCTGCCTGCACACTCAGATTGATATCATTACACAGGGTCACACAAGTGAGGCTTTCTCTAACACCACGAGGAGTTGAAATTTACTTGTCAAATAGGTAAAATATAGCTTCTGCAGAACCTTAGTATATAATTTGTGCTACCACAGTATTGAGCCAAGAATTTGATCACACTACTGGAAACTATTAGCCACCTTCTGACCATCTGTTAATGGCTAAGTTAAAAGTAGTTCTCAATTTTGTTCTGGGACCCTCTGAAGTTGGAGGTTTCTAAAACATGCCTGAAGGGTTTGAAAATCAGGTATCTTCTAGAGCATGCCCCTAGTCTGGGAGACTTTGGACCTGAAGAAAATCTGGAATGTCTATTGATGATGCAGCTTTTGATGGAGAAGTGGGCAAATGGCTCTTTGGGCGGGCAGAGGGCAGAAGCTGTTCAACTGGGGAATGTGCTGGGAGCACTGGAGTGGGAATGAGAAAGGGAGGAGTAGGGTGGGTGCAGGGAGTTACTGCTCTGTCTGAATGGAGCTCGTTTCTTGCTGTAATCAGAGGGATGGTCTCCCTCGGCCTCCTGGTACCAAGAGGCATTTCACCTTCCTGTCCCTGCTGAAGCAAGGTGCTCGACAGTAGAAACTACTTACCTGATAACTGCTGCACTGAAGGCTGGTCATGTGTGCTTAACAACTGTGCCTGAATGGTTTCTACTACCCTCTTAAAACGACGGCTTGGACCTGTGAGGAGAGAAGAGGCACAAATGGCTGTGAGAGGAATGGGAGCTGAGTCTGCATACAACCCAGGCTGGAAGGATCACAAACATCTTCCCTTCAGTCCTGTCCCCAAGAGTTTACTGACAGTGTATCTGTCCTTCAGCAAAAGGGACTGTGGTGTGCTGAACAGGAGGAAGGATGGCTTCTGGGCTCCTTTGGCAAAGACAGAACAGGTGGGGAGTCTGTTTGTTTTAACCTGGGGAGGAAACACGACACATGGCCACCCAGAAGAAAAGGGTGAGTGCATGTTTCTGTCAGAATGACAAAACTAGTGGCTTCACAGTGCCTAGCTGAGACTCTCAGACTTCTGAGTGAAACGGGGAGATAGTACCATGGGATACTTCAAACCTGATGCAAAGGTTTTGCCATTTTAGCACTAATCACAACAGTGGCAGCTTCACCTCTTTAGGACTCTCTCTCCCTGCATTTTCATCACTACCAACTCCATTTTTGTTCCTGATGTGCTCCTTGTCCCTGTCTGAATTTTCCCCCAAGGTTAAGACAGTTATATTCTTTCCTCTGGCAGAGCTCTCTTTGCAGGCCTCTATCTAATATCAGCAAGGACCACACCAGCTTGCACCCATTTTACAGCTTTGCCATGGTTACCTGATAAGAGTGTGAAAGTGACAGAATAGATCCCGTTCTCCTTCTGTGCCTCTCCCCCTTCTGTGTATGTTATGTCCACCTGGAACTTCACTGGCTTCTGGAAGACAGCAGGACCTCCTGTGGACTTATATTCTGCACGGAAACTTGTCTGTGAGATGACACTGTGACTGAGGCTTGGAATCTGAAACAGGTTGGTAGAAGGAGTCAGTAGAACCAGTGCATAAAGGGGACAAACATTGCAAAATTCTGTTTACAACAACCCACATTTCCCCAGTGGGCAACACTGGCTAGATTTTTCTTTCGGTCTTGAATTTCTAATGTCCAGTGTTCTTGTGAAATCAGTGTAGGTTGCTTGGCACCACAGAAGAATGCACAACTGCTTACAGGATTGACCTAAATTTAAAGGTTGAATAGTGGCTGAATATCCGTCATGCTTATGAATTCACGTCGCTCAATTTCATACAGTCTTTCTTTTCCTACTCATCTATCAGTTTTGATAAATGCCTTTTGCTGAGTAAAAACTGCTATTAAGGGAGTGGGCAGAAAAGACAGTGAGCTACGAGACTGGATATAAAAAACACCTAAGTAGCCTGGTCTGATTTTACAGCTGATCCTGTTTTGAACAGGAGACCTCCTGAAGATCTTTCCAACCTCAGTTGCTCGGTGATTCTGCAATGTCAAATAGACATCAGGACATGGAGCACACTTAGACAAATGCCTGAGATATCCACAGGGAAAGATGCCTGCAAGTAACTTACTCAAGCCACAACTCCTATCAATATGGAAAAGAACTCTGAGAAGCTTTGTGGTATCATCCAATATCTGTATCTTCAGACCCATGGTAGAATTTTGTAACTGTCTAATTTTCAAGCAGTTACCAGTCACACTTTCCACCAAAATTTAACATACTCAAATTCTATTTATGGCTTCATAAAGAACCAGATTAAAAAAAAATGTATTCAAATTACTTAGAAGTCTGGTCTCTAATTTAGGAGGAAAAATGCAGATGAGTTCTCTGAGAGCTGACTAAGGACTTAATTAGCAGGCTGTGACAATGCATTTAAGTTTGAAGGTGCAGTAAGAGACGATTCACAGGTTTTGCACACAAATCACTACATCACACCTAAACCCACACATGTGAGGTATGCACAGGATTGCCACTATAGACAGCAGTGCATGCTATGCCATAATATAAGCTCAGAAGCAGAGCTAAATGCATGACATTGATATAGCAATGTCTACTTTGGACCAGTCAGGGCTGGATAGCAGTGTCTGATGCATGCAACTGTACTCTACTTACTCCTTGTATGCTTGTACAGTTACAAGGCTTGTGGCTGATTTTTTGGGAAGAAATTAATTGCAGCATCATACAGGTTAAAATGGTCTTCAGCATTTTGTGGAAAAAAATCAATACAACAAACTATCAAAGGAATTAAGTCTCCTCTTAATTCTATTGAAAAGTCTAGTTATATTGTTAAGTACCTTGAACTGAAAAAAAATCTCTTAAATTAACTTTGCTGTGCAGACTCTTTCTTCACTAGTACTTCTAGATGTTGAGAATCAAGACTTTCTACAGGATAAATGACAATTTCCCTCTGCTTTCTTAAGCTGTACATAAACTGCATTTGCAACAACTCATACTGTGGTCATCAGAGGCAAACACCCTTCTTTCTGCCATGCAGCATTGAAGTGGAGATTTAAAGTAACAAATGACAGGATTTTGCCTGGCTGAAGTGGTGGAGGGCTTACCCAGCAAAGGGAGACCCAATCTGCTTGCCCAGAAGGTGACTGTAAGGTTAGTTTGACAAAGCAGCAAATCACTGTCTGGACACTGTGCCAGCAGTGTGCTCTAACAGCCACGTTATTCCAAACACTGGCAACCTGGAGACCTTGACAAGAAAGCTGAAATCTTTTCTCCCATTAAGAGAGCCTTATCTACAGTTAGTAATTCACACAGAGTCCAGCAGAGGAACAGGCTACATAAATGAAATCCACAGAGGATGCATTTGAAGGAGCAGAGACCCTGTTCAGTACCATTTGGCACAAGGAGCCCTGGAACTGAGCAGTGAACAATGCCTCCAAGAGGCAGCTGGGGTGACTTACCGAGAGGAAAGCGTGGACTATATCAGCCTTAATGGAGCTTAGTGGTTTGTCTTTAATGACCACAAAGATCTGTTCTTCTTTCTCCAAGTTGATGAAGTTACCAAACCAGGATTTTTTGGCAAGCCTGACATGATGAAAAGAAAGAGATTTTTTAGAATATTGAGCACTATTTCTTTTTTCTTACACACTCCTAGCTAGAAAAAAAATATTAGAAAACACATAAAGTTTTGATAACACTCCAGATGTTATGCTATTACTAATAGTAAGCAGAAAATAGTGTCAGAGAAGATGCAGAGCAACATTTTGCTTAGTGAAAACTGGTAAAATGATGGACCACATAGTCTTAGTCTGGCAGCATGTGTCACCAATAGGGAAAAATCAGGAGCAGTAGTAACTCTTTTGACTGAGGCAATATACCAATTAATACTGCATACATAAAGTGCATATAAGCCAGGGGCCACGTTTCTGGTTTGTCTCCAGGGATCTCTCCATTTCTCGTGACAATATGAGGATGCTATAACACAGAGATTTAAGTTCCTTCCCAGCCAATTTCAACTCCTTTGGTGTTATAGGACTTGGAAAGTTTCCTTTTCTGAAGGTGTCCTGTTGGGCTGCAATCCTCAGATCTTGCTTTTAAAGCAAGCTGTAGATTTCACTGCACCTCCAATCTGTCAGTGACTGACATTCACTCCTATGCAGAGGGCCAGGAAAAAGACTGTCCCATTCATTAGTCCCATTCAGGGTGTCAAAGTGAGCTCTGGTCATCCTACAACAGAATGAATTCCAGTACTAAGAAAGAAGACACTAACACCATGCAAGACAGTTCAGGCTTTCCACTGGCAGCAGCCCATCTTCACAGGTTAAAGACTGCATCAGACAGTGATTTCATCATAAAATGAAATTACACTGTTTTTCCTCACTGATTGTATCAGCAAATGTTCGATTCTGTTTATTGTTTCACCATCTCAATGCACTTTGTTGACATTACCTTTTAAGTTAAACAAGCTAAAGAAAGAATCCAGGGACGTTATTGTTACTGGGGCACACTATCCAGAACTAGAAGGTAACATCTCTGACAGGTGTGGATTTGAGGGGAGAGAAGATGCTGTCAGCCATGAGACACAGCCAAAGAATTGCTGGACCGACCTAAACCTGGGGAAAATTCCCCTGAAATCAGCCATATTCTAGTAGGGGAGAAGTTAGAATAAAAATTTCAGAAATGAAAAGACCTTCAACCAAGAGACTGATGTGTTTTTATCTACAGCATACTTTATAATGCCCAGTCCATTTTGCAGTATGGCAGGCAATAAGCTTTCACTCATTTTGGTGGACATTCACCACTCAGTGGAAGAAGACAACCTCTCCAGACAAGGAGAGCCATCTGCAAAAGGGATTACCATACATCAGCTTTCCAACAAAGTACTAAATGGCTGGAGCAAGTTATTACTTGATTCACTTTCTATGGCAAACACTCAGACTGAGGCAGAACGAGGAAAGGCAAAGACCAGGACAGAGAGGAGCAAAGGAGGAAACTAATTTGAAGTCTAGACCATTGGGATAAAGAACAAAGCTTGACCTCAGCAGTGTCCAGCAATTTGCACTCGTTCCCCTTTCCAGAGTGCTCTGTGAATCACGTAACTGCTGGCTCACTGCCCATTTAAAGCACACAGTAGAAAGATCACAACTGGAAGACTGCTCAGCTGGGCAAATAATAATTTGCTTCAATTACTGCAGGCAACCAAAAAAATAAGAGTACAGAAAGATTCACTTGCAATTTGGTAAACCAGTGCCCCCCACTCAATTAAAGTGGGCTGGAAAACTGTCACTTCCTAAAATATTCATAGGCAGCTGTAACTAAGCCATTGAGCCAGAGATTAGCATAGGGAGCAGTAAAGAGAAAGGGGCTCTCATTTAAATGGTCGTTAAGGAGCCAGGGTTAGAGTGTGAAGGAAAATTACATACTAATTAGCCCATGTGTCTCACACACACCGTAACAACTCTGCAAGTCCCTGGAGAGCTGGGGCAATAGCTCCCTGCATGTAAAGGGTCCATGCTCATTAGTAAATTAGCACCTGGTTATCCATCTAAAACGGCTGGTTGTCTTAGGCTTGGATGTATCATAATCTGAACCAGGGATGGCTCTCTGGACTCCAGAGGCCCAGTGGAAGCATGGGCCTGGAAAAAGTGTGCATATTTAACTGCAGATCTGCCATCACAAAATATGGCTTTTCATCTCTGTATTTTCATTAATGGTTTTGTTGTCTCTTCATTTACAGGTCACTTAACAAGCACAGGTAAAAAGGGCCCCAGGACTCAGGGAGGTTTTCTCCTGTTCAGCTTGCTCTGGAATCTCCAGAATCCAGCTGGGCTCTTTTCCTCAGCAAGGTGATCACCAGTAATACTGACTCTGGAAGATTCACTGATAGCCTGGGCTAAGCTCCAGCTTGTAAATCACTGGAATTCACTACATATTTTTGCTCTTGTGGCATAAAGTGGAATAGATGCCAGTGGCCTCTCCCATTTCTGTGAGGAACAAAATCAAGACATAGCACACATGCACTGGCTTTTCTCTCCTAAACTGTCAGAACTAGCTGTACCCATACACCCAAGGAACAGGCCCACTGAAGTGGAGGGGACAGCCTTGGAGTAAAATGACACAATAAAGGTCTTTCTCCTTTTAGGAGGCATTAACTGCTACTAACTTGGGTTAAAATGTGCATGACTCAAAAATCCTCAGCACCCTGAATGAGATGCTGTAGCATCTCACAAAATCAGGCTGTAAGCAGTACAAAATGTTCTTAAAATTAACAATCTGCTCTTGTCATGGCAAACCTCCTAAGGGGGAGTGAGATAGGAGATATGTGGGGGAAGCTGGGTATATAGATTACACTAGGGAATCTAATCAGGTGTCCAGTTGATGAAAAAGCAAAGAAATTAGCATGAAAATGGAGGCTTGTGCTTTATTACTTCACACTGAATTTCTCACTGCTATAATGTTGTTCCCTTTCCTACTTTTGGTGTGTCTGACTGCACTGCCTTCTGGAGAGCGTCACTGTGTTCCCTATTTGTCCCTGAGCACATGGATCTGTAACCTCCAGAGGTTTACCTGCTTGGCATAAATAACAGCAGCAACACTCAAGCAAATGGAGCTTTGCAGGTTTAAAATAGCTGGAGCTAAGTCTCTTTAAATGTCATCCCTAACACATTTTCTAGGACTTTTTCATATGAGAAAGAACAGCACTATCCAGACATGTCAGTGTGTTTACCTAGTCATCAGGTTTGTTAAATGAATGGCAGTCATTGCTGTACCAGACAGAACAAGTATTTATTGCTCAGCCATAAGGTCAATACAGCTCTTGATAAGGATGTCTTATTTCTTACAGAAAGGAAGAAAACACTAGAAAAAACCAAGACACGTGGAAGTAGGCACTGAGCAACAGATATCTATCGTTAAAATATAATCCAGTTCATTATTTTTTATTACTTGTATTATGTTTACTGCAGGGTGCAGCCCAATTGAACTCATTAATTTGGCAATTATACAGGAAAACAAAAAAGGGCCTTAGGCTTTGACTTGCATCCAAACTGCCTCAAATGACAGGCACTACTCTATACCAGCTTTTAAAGAGTGAGTGGGAAGCAGAGAAGGCACTAAATTAACAGAAAAACTTCCACCAACATACATGCATTAAGAAGAGAAATTTAATTCTAAAGGTTTTCTAGTTTAATGGCCTTAAAAACATGTGAGATGAGAGTATCATATATTTATTTGATAAGGATGTGTTCATTTTATGGAATTCTCTCATGCCTTTCTATTAGTAAATGCTCCAAAGTGTTGAATGTGGAACATCCAAAACACAATATATTCCATTTGTCTGCCTGGATTTCTGTTACTAACCTTTACTAATCCCCACTTCTCCCTCTCCCGAAGTCTTTATCCCTCTCCATTCTGCAGCATTACACATAGAGTGCCCATCTTATACCAGACAAATGCCAGGTCTGGGGAAAGTTGTTAAGACAATACCATTGTCACCAATTCCAAAACTTTGAGCCCGAAAATTTCCATCCAAGACTCATGAATTTTTCATACAAGTATCTTAACAAGAGGCCAAATTGCCTTGGTTGGCAGGGTAAGTCTATGGGCACTGGGTGCACAAACACAAGCTGTGAAAATAAAAAGGAATAATCTGGCATCTGTTGCATATTAGGAAGTGTTTGGAGCAGCACTCTGGCAGGGACTTCCAAACCTGCCACGCAGTGACGCACATTTGTGCACTGAAATGGTTGAAATGTACATTGACTTTTAGGAATGAGCCTGGTGAATATGAAACAGCTTCTCCATGTCCCAGAGCTGCTATCTAGAATTAACACTGCATTTACTATTGCAGCCACAGATTACTTTGAATTATCTTAGCAGAGGATTCTGTGTGTTATCCTGAGAATGCAAACTCTCCTGTACTAAGAGGAAGAATTTTCAGTGCATAGTTGGTGCCAGTATAAGCCATGGATTAGCCTCTTCCCTCCTGAAGAGTGATCTACTTGACAATCAAATGAAAGAAGAGAGAAGGAATGTGTTACAAACGCAATAAATTCAGCAAGCCATGAGAAGATGAGGTGGTTACTGGGAAACTGTTTCGTCACCTGTTGACCCCACTGCATTTCTGAGCTATAGATTTTATCCAGGGTCCTTATCAGAAGAATCATCACACATCTCCATCCCACCCACAGGATAACTGGCTACAATCAGATGCTGATCCAGAACAGAAAGATGTCAGCCTATGACATTCAGGCAAGGAAATTACACTGGTATGTGGTGGGAAAAAAACATAGTGTACTGGCAAATTACTTACTCTGGGGATGATTCTGGGGTTAAATTAGACATCTCCTCTGGTGTAGGTACTGCCCATGCACGCACAGCCAAAGAGAGGGAGGGAGAAAAGAAATTGGTGATTTAGTACACCTTCCATTTTCTGCTGGTATACCAATGAAACAATTCTGGCATTGCACCCTCCTGCATTTGCCTACTGCCTCTGTAGACTAGTTCTGATATTTGAACATTGGTCATATGTCTCTAGATCACTGCATCTGATCAAGAGCTGCATTTCAAGACTCAGTTTGCCCTTCCATAAGTCATTATGCAATCTTGCACTGGCTTCAATGGTTTCTGGTTCAGACCCAAATGTGAGGCACTGTGCCAACATGATTGCTTTACAATTGCTTCAAAGCCAGTTGGATGCAGCTCAGTCACTGCTGCAATTCTCTGACCATCTCAGAGACAGTGTCCCTGATCATCACATTTCAAAATCTATCTCTTCCATGGCTGTAATCCTCCTTTCCCATGGGATCACATCCTGGTACCCTGTAAAACCACAGGGTGTTGGGATAGCTGCTGCTGACATCTGAGGATTATGCATGTGACTTTGGGTGCCCTTTGTCTGCATGCAAAAAAACCACCTGGAGCTTGAGAAAGAAAATTTTGCACATCTCAACACTCTAGAGACTCTCAAAAATGAAGTAGGCCAGCAGATACGAAACTACTGACTGTATTAAGGAGATTTTTACACCAATTACCAGAAGAGGTATAAAAAGCATTAACCATGATCAAAAAAGCTGTGCTTCAGAAGGACAATTTCAGCCTATTGCCACTGGCTGTCTTTCTTTTTCAGCAGAAGGCTCAGCCTGTGGCTGTGGAGAGGCAGTGGAGCTCAGCCACAGGGGAAATGGCAGAGCTCTAGATTCACTGAAAAAACAAGTGAAGAAGCTGAAGATAAATTTTTCTTGTGATCTGAGAGCCACAACAGGGATAAGTAGGAACCTTAAGGCTGGAATGTGAAGGAGATGCTGTTGGAGCAGGTACTGGGTCATGACAGAGTCTGGTCACATGTGGGTTAGGGTGTGGCTGACACTATCACTCTCATTTTCGATACCAATATTCAGCCCTCGGTACATGGAATTTGCAGA